CTCTCTCTCGCTGCAATTACTGCTGCGCAATTACTTTTTTTCCTCTCTTAAACACGTTATCGCCAACAATGAAACTGTCCCTCCCCCTCCTTGCCTGAAGGCTGAACACAGTTTCCTCAGCCTCTTCTCATACGTCCTTTGCTCCAGCCCTTGACCATCTTGGTGGTTCTCAAATAGACTCACCCCAGTATTTCCATGACCTTCTTGTACTGGGGAGCTCAAAACTGGACAGATTGTGGTCTGGAGAGTGGAAGGGAATCTCCTTAAGCAAAGCAAAGAGTCCAAATGAGGTCTTCCACATCCTGATGACTTGCAGCCATGACTCCCACATCTCACCGATGTCTTGAATAGCAGGAGACAGAAGGTTAGAAACCTCATTATTGTCATCGTACCATTATTTGTATTAATGAGTTGCCTACAAATTGTTGAATATATGGGTATTTCTGAGCACGTCTAGAAACAAAACATTTTGTTTCATAAAAAATTCTAATAGGGGAAACTGAGGCACTTCGTATCTGCAGGCATGTTTTTGACGTATTTCGTCAAATCCGTTTGTGGGTTTACTCCTGGACTGTCGTGTCAATCTGTGTCACATAACCATCAGTATAACTGAGAGTGAGTAACTGTCAGGTAGGACTGGCATCTGTTTGATGCAGACTTTGAGCCGTAAGGTAGGGATTGAGAGTTAAGATACCCGCTACTCCTTCCAGCACACCTGAAAAACATGATCATTTAGTCAGCAGTGTGCATCCTGGCTTGGGCTGCTCTTATTTGATATTTCATGCTGGCAAAGTGCAACTGCAAGCTTTTATGTGCTGCAATGCATGTCTTTGGACAGCTGTATTACAATTTGCTCTAAACTAGGTGAGATTGGCTAACATCTATTCCTGTTGGAATTTAGAGCTAGACAGCAGAGATGAGAAACAACTTCTAGAGCTTGCCTTAGAAGAGAAGGAAACCCTGGATAAAAAGATCAACATGTTGTGCAGAAAGGTGAGCCTGAGATAAAATTACACAGCTTTATAAATAAAGATGTCAGAAAAATGTTCTTTTGTGATCTTACCAATAGACTGATACTTGCGTTTAGTGAAACAGAAGTCCATCTTCTGTCATCTCCCTGAAAAGAAGTGGCAACATTAATTATTAGTAAGCTTCTTACTGACAATTGTGGCTTAGAAGCTTATTATTTTAGTCATTTTTGCTGGCTTGCTTGTCTGTCTGCAGATGCTGAAGGGCATTAAAGAAATGGTGAGTCCGTGCTATTGAGACCTGACATGACATCCTAGTAACTGTTTGTGGCAGCGGAGCGTGCATTCTTGAAAGATTTCTGATTGGAACTTGCAGTCTTTCATTTTCTTTTCAGCTGACAGCACCCCATGGGTGGGGAAATTAATTATAAGCAGAGAAGCTGAAACGATTCAGTGGAGACCTCTCTATGTTTGGGCTCACTTCTATGTTCAGATTGAAATAATATGAAATGGGATTTTCTGAAAAATAAGATTAATGTAAAGATTGGCTGGGTTATAGCTAATAACTTTGTGATCACAGGTCGTTGGGGCTGGAGTGGGTGACCTGGCACCTGACTTTGCAGGATCGAATTTTCAGCTAGCTTTCCTATGGCTGCACCAGCATATCCCGTTTCCACACTGATGCGCTGAGTTGCCACGGCCGTTGGACAGTTTTTAGTCCTGCTGACCCGTTTGCCTGAAGAAATCAGTGGTTGTGTGCGCTCAAGCTGTGGCAATTGTGAAGGCTGGCTGTAAATTTGATTAAGAGGAGATACAGAGTCGTGAAGGAGATAATGACATTCTTTTTTTTTTTTTTTCTCTTTCAGCTTTTCCAGCTTCTACTGCCAAAGGAAAAATATGATAGAAGTCATGTCATATTAGAAGTGACAGCTGGCAGAACAACTGGAGGTCAGCAAAGTCCCCACAGTAAAGATTACTTCAAACCTCCATCCAACTTTATTAAACCTCTTATGGGTTATTCTTAATGACTTTTTGTACTTTAATAGTATCAAGTAATGCTGCCTGAAGAAGAGTATTAACCTGTCTAATGACTGCAGCTAAATCTGAAAAGTGGTGGCTGCCATTTTGTGAACTGCTATTTACGTTGTAGTGCCTTTATATTTTTAGGAGACATCTGCCAACAGTTCACCAAAGAAATGTTCGAGATGTACCAGAACTATGCAGACTATAAACATTGGACCTTTGACATCGTGAACTATACGCTGGCTGAGAAAGGTACAGTAGTTTTTCAGACATTCCACCAAGACAACGAAATTAAAAGCAGCGTTTCTGTGCTATATTTGTCATGCATTATTTGTCTCTCTAGGTGGGTTGCATCATGCCGCTGCTCATATTTCAGGAGATGAAGTCTACAGGCACCTGAAATATGAAGGAGGGACTCATCGAGTCCAGCGAATCCCTGAGACAGGCCTGTCATCAAGAATGCAGCGTATTCACACTGGGACCATGTCAGTTATTGTCCTCCCTCAGCCAGACGAGGTAAAGTAGCTGTTAGTCAGGGTAGTGAGGTGGTGTATCCCTGCTCACCCGTTTTGTCATTGGAGTAGGTGTTATTTAAAACTACGTTACTGTTACTGTTTGGGGCTTTTATTGATACCCAAGTGCTTTGTGCAGGTCCCAGCAAGAGAACCACAAGTTCTTTGACTCTGGAAGGTGATAATAGTCCTTGGCTTTGTACCTGACATGTTTAATTGGGTCATCGGAAGCAACTTTGCAGAGATTTGCTGTTGCCTGAAATGGCATGTAAATCAATGATCGTTTCAATGAGTATTCCAGCCCCAGCCCTCACCAAGCTGACTGCTATGAGTAAGCCAATTTTAAATTACGTAATGTATTAAGACAGGGAATACGTCCAAGAAGATATTCAGGATTGCATAGTAATGTGATTCTGCAAGTCCTTTTGATTTTTTTTTTTTGTTTCATTTAAACTACTGATGCCCTTCTCTGTTAAATCAAGGACAATCTGCTTGGAATGCGAACGAGTGAGTGTGTCCGACGGTCTGTCTGAGATCTCACTGATACCGACAGTTCTCACTCAGGCCAGCAATTTACACACAAAATAAACAAAAACAGACCCTTTCCCTGAACATTCTCCTGCTTCCTTGTAATGCTTTCCTTGCAACATTGGTCAGATCTGAATGTTCCTTTCCCATCCACTGAGCTCAAACTGTGGTCCAGGTCATCATGGAGTTGTATTTCCAATGCTGCAATCCTTACTTGGATCTGGATGCACCCATTTTTTCCTCAGTTTGATGTTTTTAGGTACTGTTGCAGGAATCATTCAGGCTTGACTCATGGACAATGTCCTTGCACTGCTGTTTAGAAGTATTTTTTGTTTATTTGCATATTTCTTAGTCTCCCTTTGCAAAGCTAGCGGTTTTACAAAAAGTTATTGATTTTGTTTTGTTTCACACACGCATGTACCTTGTTTTGTGAAGGACCTGGACTAAGAGTTTGAAAAAATAAGTGGAATATTTAAAGCATCACTCGCGTTGCAGATAATAGTCGACACTGCATTTTTTTCAAAGTATAATAATTACAGCTGTTACTCAGGAACAGTTGTAAAGGAGCAGGTTTTTTTGGGAAGTGATTTATTTTTTTTTACACCGAGTATCATTGACATTCAAATATTTTTAGAATGAGCAGCAAGTAATAATTTTCTTTGATTCTAGGTTGATGTTAAAGTGGATCCCAAAGATTTGCGTATAGATACGTTCAGGGCCAAAGGAGCAGGAGGGCAACACGTTAACAAAACCGACAGCGCTGTGAGAATTGTACATCTTCCCACGGGTAAGCCTGGCTGCCTGTCATCCTTCTGATCACCCTACATCTGTAGCGTGAAGAGAAAGCCTGTGATCCTGCAACAAGTTCACCTTTAGAGTGAGTCTGCAGGGTGGGGCCTTACACCAAAAAAAAGGAAGTAGCCCCTTGTGGTTCTGCCCCTCTTCTAGCAAGGCAACGCGTGAGAAAAGGGATATGTGCCAGTGGCACAATGGCCAGTAAGTTGCAATTATGCCAGTTTTGTCTTCAGAGGGAGTGTTTAATGAATACACGGTCTTTGGAGGATGAAGGAACAAATGGAGGGTGGCAGGGGTGGGATGGCAGGTGTAAATAATTCGTGCTGTGTGCTCTGTACCTTGAGGAATAATGGCCGTTGGCAACCACGGGTGCGCTTGGCCTGGCTGGAACCTCTGTAGTTACACGACTGAGAAAAAAGGAGGCTTGAAGATTTTCATTCGGTACTAGATAATGCCATCAGCTGCTGAATAGGGAGGAAAATGCACACTGATGGGAAGGTAGTGTGTAAACTGGACCACTCTGTCTTTCTCAGCATTCGATTTTATTGAAATTCAGTGTGCTTCTATCTGTCCAGATGCAGAGTCTCTTCAGGCACAGGAAATCCCAGTAGTGACCTGAAAACAGCTGTTTCCTATATGCCTTTTTATTTCAGAAATGAAATGAGAAGTAAAAATAACTACTAAATTGCTTTTAAAGACCTTTATTTTATTTTATTTCATTATTCATAATTAAGTTTAAGAGTCACCAGTATTGTTTAGACACCCTTCTCTGCTAGAATAATGAACTTTCCAGCCTCCAAGAGCTTATCTAGACTAAGACTTTCAAAACTTGTGTTACAGTGTTTTAAACATGCTTCCGTAGACTGTGCAGTTTTAGCCTGTGATAGCTAATTGGAGTGAACCCGTTTTCTGAAGGCAATATCAGAAACTTGTTTGCTTCATGAAATTTTAAAGTATCCCTGACTTTTCTGTAGCGCTGAACAAAGCCTGTGGTGCAGCTGTGAAGAGTTTAAAAACATACTAATGGTTCTGGCCAATCTTACAGCTGAACAGCCCTACAAAGGAGCACTCTAGAAGGTTTCATTTGCCTAATGTGTTAGAATTCATTTAGCTTGTTTGTTCTTTGCTATAATGGGCTTTTGATCTGAGCTCTCTTGAATCCCTCTGTAAAGGACTAGCAGTTGAGTGCCAGCAGGAGCGATCACAGCAGATGAACAAGGAAATAGCTCTGCGGACACTGAGAGCTAAGCTGTACCAGCAGATCGTTGAAAAACAACTGAGTCAAGAGCAGAGTGCCAGAAAGCTGCAGGTGAGAACATGTGATTGCTGAAATTTGGAGAGGGTGTGATGTTGTAGATTTGTTTCTGATCTTTTTGAGCGCCAGGGACAGAGCAAGTGCGTGTGTGTGTCTGACCAGGTGTGCTTACAAAGGAGAATCTTGGGTTTTAAAATGGCAAGTCTTTTTTTTTTTTTTTACTTACCCCAGTTCAGTGCTATCACAGACTTCTCAGGCAATGCAAAAGAGACATCGACTGTAGCTGGAAAGAAAAGAGTCAAAAGACTAGCTGGAATTATCCAGAAGGCAACACTCGACATCATATACTGAATCCCCTTGTTAAGGCCAGAGTCGCACAGATAGAGCATCAGTAAAAAGTTACTTTCCGTGAAAACTAGGCTCAGAAGTTCTATTTTAACCTGTTTCTAAACCGGAGTATTTGATAAGACCACACAGAGCTTTTGAAAGAAACAAGTATATGAACAATCCTGCTGCTACGCAGTTAGTAGCAGTTTATTTGACAAGGTTTAGGTCACCTTTTAAGGAAGAAACAGCTTCCATAAAAAAGTTACCTCAAGTCATGCTGCGCAGTGTCCTTTTCCTTGAAATGCGCCATCGTTCTTTTCCCATTCTTTGAGTATTTTCCCATTTGTGGTGCAGACTTCAACACCGATTGACAGGAATAAAAATACTCGAGAATTACAGAGTTATTCAGTACTCCAGCTTAGCTATTTGATCGCTAAGTTCAAGTTGCATTTAAGTATGTTGTTCCTGCAGATTATTAACCCAGTCATTGTGAGCAGCGAGCTGTTTATCTTTTGTTATTAATTTGAGCTTGAGAGCCTTTGAAGGAGGCTTAAAGGACTTAGACGGACATTTATATGAATACTACGGAAAATCAGGCAAAAGTAAATTACCTTTCCTAATGTTTCAGAATTTATTCAATACGTTCCTTGTTTTGAAATACACCTGTTGGGTGCAGATGGGATTTTCAGAAAAGCCCGTTGAAGCAGACACCCATTTCTCTAAGCAGTTTTTAGCGTTTAAGTCTTCATTTTCATAAAGTGTATAAACCGCACAACAAAGCTTCATTTGGCTTTCGGTTCTTTTAGAATTGCTTGCATTTCTTGCGCTTTACCACTAGAGGACTGTTCTTCGTATTCTTAATTTCCTCCTCTTTCAGTGCTGATTTCCAACAGCCAAACGGTAGGGGAACTGCTTTGTCACACGTTGACTGTGCTCCTTCTGTGATTAATGGTGCCGGCTTTCGTTATTTTTTTCTTGGAGCTACAACTCCCCCAAAAAAGAAAAACACTCTCCCATTTTTGAACTAAGGACTCCTATAGACATATCTCTTGCCTTAGATGACTTTTTAGAGTTACATAATTCTTCCAGCTGGAGAGCTGGAACAGAAATGTAGTGGAGGATGTAAAAACTCGGTCTGTGGCACAGAATCACAAAGAATACGGTTTGGTAATGCCACAGTATTTAAAAGCCTCATATGCTAAGCCAGTGACCACTAGGTTTGTAGTTGGAACAGGCTGATCCATTAAAGTTTATTCTAGGTATGCTCTTTTAGAGTAGTATTGGAGTGGTTTTTTTTAAAACACAATATAATATAATTTGTTTTTTGCTGCTTCGCTGTAGTTGGGAACCAGAGCCCAGTCAGAGAGAATTCGTACTTATAACTTCACCCAGGACAGAGTCACTGACCACAGGATCTCGTATGACGCACGCAATATCAAGGTAACGGTTGCTTGTGACAGCATTTAAAGTTAGATACTTACGTGTACCGTAAGAAAAAATTAACTTAGTGAAATCTGCTTAATATATATGAGGAAATCCGATAGCCAGTTGTGATATGACAGAACATCCTAGATTTAGAAAGCTTAAGCTTTCTTTCCTGCCTTCCAGAGTAGTGTTAAAGATGACTGGCACAGGGTATAAGTTTCTGCACTACTTCTCTGCGTATTTTTCTCCTGCTGTATGAGTGACAAATGATCAAGCCTGTAGCCCTCAGTGAACTCCTTGAGTCCCTCAGCCAGACTGGGCAAGTGACATTGGAGATTCTTGAAGCTTACTACATCCAAAGGAGAAACCTGAGGCGAAGGACTTTTTTTTTCTTTTTCTTTTTTTTTCTGTTTTTCTTTTTCTTTTTTTTTCTCTTTTTCTTTTTTTTTTCCTCTTTTTCTTTTTCTTTTTTTTTTGTTTTACTTTTTTTTTTTCCTCTTTTTCTTTTTTTTTCTCTTTTTCTTTTTTTTTTCCTCTTTTTCTTTTTCTTTTTTTTTTGTTTTACTTTTTTTTTTTCCTCTTTTTCTTTTTTTTTCTCTTTTTTTTTTTTTTTTTTTTTTCCTGTTTTTCTTTTTCTTTTTTTTTTCTGTTTTTCTTTTTTTTTTTTCCTCTTTTTCTTTTTCTTTTTTTTTTTTCTCTTTTTCTTTTGTTAAGCCATTCTTTCCTCCTCCTAATTCTGGAGTGAAGAAAGAGAAAAACTTTTCTTTTATGTTTGCCTTGCAGGCCACAGTTAAAAGAAACTGAAACCAAATGCTTTCATTTTAACATTACCTGAGCTCTTATTTCTGAGTAAATCTTTACATATGGCTTTAATCTTATTTATTTATTTGTTTTTTTTACAGGGAAGCAAATACCTGATAATGCATTGTGTATTCAATTTATGAAAATGTTTTGAATTTTAGGACAAAGTTTAGGCTGACCCTTCAATATGTTGGCTTAGGTGTCCAGTTTACTGTCAGTGCTGTTGCATAAGGAGCAACACTTTTCTGTACCCACAGGCGTCCTGGGTAGCTTCAAGAGCCCAGGGCGTGCTGGATATGGAGTGGTTCATACTTAGTGGAGTGGGGAATAGGTATACAAATACTATGGTGAAGGAGAATGGGAAGAAGTTCCATGATTGCATAAAAATTACTTTTGTTAGTCGAGCTTTTCAGTTACTTAGTGTTGGGAACTCGTTACTTTTCTTGAGTGAAACTGGAACCATAAACTGTCTGATGAAAGTGATCTGAGCTTCGCTGGCAAAACTGGTTCTCGGCACGAACACCAGCATTGGAATTAGGTTCTTCCCTCCTTGATCGTTCTTGCTAGGGGATTTTCATGTAAACTGTGCACCGCGCCGCGTTGCTTTCACGCGGGGGAGCCGGATGAGCAAGTGGATGCTCCAAGATAAGGCTCCAGGCGAAGTGCATTCCAGGAGCTCCTCGTTGGAGTAGTCGGCGTTTCAGACTCCCGCTGATGTACAGTCAGTAATGCTTTTGTCTGGTTTTATTGTTTCCATAGGAAATTCTAAGTGGGAAAGAAGCACTGGATAAGCTCATCAGCAGACTACTGGAGTTCGCAGAGATAGAGGCTGTCACCGAATATCTAGAAAATTTACAGGCTTTAGAAGGAGGAGGCTGCTGAAGACCTTGTGTAGAGTTAAAGCAGAAACGTTGTGTTCAGTAGCAGAAGAAACCAGATGTATTTGTTAGATGATACATTGATTAAAATCTATGCCCCTCTTTTTCAGCGTGTGGTGCTACTTTTTTATATTTTGGTGCAAATGGGTTGAATGTATTACAGCAGCCCAGCAGAAAAGAACAAGCTCGGAGCACTGTGTGCACATCCCTTCTGACTCCGCAGCGTGGCTTTGTTAAGCCGGTCCTTCTCTTGACCATACTGGAGCTGGAAAGATACAGAATTGTGGTGACGGAGCAGAAGAAATAACAGATTGAGCACGTTTTGTTTTGGGGGTGGAGATGTTCCTCTCCAGGTGAAAGAACCTAAGCTCCCCAAACATAGTCTAGAATCTGGCCTCATGAATAGCGCTTACTTTTACCCGTTGATGGGGTGAGCCTCCTTAATGTAGGTGCTTAAAAATAACCCAGTATCATGATGCTTTATTTTTTAGAGGGAATATACAAACACAAAGGGAGCGATCTTGGGCAAGGGGTCAGAATCTCTTTAAGAGAGAAGCCTGTCAGCTTCCTTTTAGCCATTCTTGCTTGGGTCAGCTCAGGGTGGGCCTGGACCACGTGCCTCAGCAGCGTGTGAAAGTACGCGTTCCAGTTTCAAATGACGTCGGTGAGATTCTGGAAGGAGCTCAGCAGCGATAACAGGCAGCTCCCTGCTGCTTGGCCGAGAAAACGAGTTCGTAGTGTAGACGCATTTTAGCAAATGGGGTTGCTCTGGAATTCAGTTTCTGCCTTGATGCCTTTGGGAACGCATGCCTGTCCCCGGGGCGATCCAAATACCTACAGAGCGCGCTCGGCTTTAATAGGACTTGAGTAGGACTTGCGTTCCCATTCCCCCCCCCCCGAGCGCGTGTGGCGCGGCGTGCTGACAGGCCCGTGGGTGCAGGCAGGCGGTCGTCGTATGCAGCGATTCGGGAATATTCACGTGTTTAACGTCACACAAAAACAGGCAAGTGCTCTGCTGAACTGGGTTGACTTGCTAGATCACAGTGTTCTCTTTTTGTCCGGCTCTTCCCAGGTTGTGCTGTAAAGCTGCTCTGCGCAATCTCTGGCGTGTGAAGAATCAGTTCGTTGCTGCGATTTAAATTATGCCTCGTGCTTGATTTATATTTGCACATTTATTTTGTGATCCTGAATGCTACAGGGCTAAGAAAATGTCATTTTAAGAAAAATAATTATTTCAATATAGAGTTCTTCTAAATGGTGTAGTTGTTACTACTGCATATATAATAACAGTTTTAACTTTATTCAGCTCTGTTAAGAAATACCGAATTTGTATCAGGAAGAAAGCAAGAAAACTATACTTGGTTCTCAATTCTGGAATTATTTTTCCATTCTTTTGTGTGTTTGCACATTCTTATCAGCAAGCTTTGTCTGGCAATGACAGACAATGACTTGCTTCCAACACTTTAATGATAAAAGCTTTTTTTTTTTTTTCTTTTAATTTATAGCTCTGTAACTCCATCAGGAAATGTATTACCATGCAATTTAAGAGTCATTTGCACCCTTGAACTTTGACTTCTTGCAGTAAGCAGTTCAGAAAAAAGAAACCCCTCCGAGGAGATGTGCAGCTCAGCTTGTACTTGGGCAGCAGTGCTGACAGACGGGCAGTAACTAGTATGATCAGCTGTAGTAGGAGAGTATCCAGTTCATGTGCTTTATCCAACTACCCTGCTCACTTTTGTGATGCAAACTAATTTTATTTTATTAATTATATAGCTTCAACAATCTCAGAAATTTCTTACAAAGAACGCATTTTGAATGATCAGATTCTCCTTCTAGGATTAGTTAATGCCTGTGAAATTCTTGACTATGAAAAACTATTGAAACACTTTTTTTTTTAAAAAAAGAGCCTTTTTTTAAAAGGCTTTATTTTACTGGAAGATGGCCATGTCATGACTGCAGGACCGTAGGGCTATTTTGCAATTAAATTAGTTCATTTTCTGTAGCCTCCAAAATCCTAGAACTACAAATGAATTTATTCACTTGACATAGCATCCTGCTTGTTCTCATTTAGCTAAAAGGAAGAAATAACCAAACGCTGTTTGCAACAAAATGCATTTCATAGTCGAGCAGAACTGTTTGCCTGCACCGTACCTCATTTTGTTCCAGCTGCTTAGTACAGCTGAATAGTTTTCTTCACTTTCTGTAAATAAAGTTGCCAAAAGATCACATTGACAAAAAGATTTTTCTTGGTACAAGAAATGTTGTGAAATAATTTATGTGCATTCCCCACCTTTTAGCAGTGTGCATCTTTATCTCTCGTCATTTTTAAGATGAGCAAAAACGAAGAGTACTAACAATCTGTTATCATCAGAAAGTTTATATATTCAGCTACATTCTGAAGGCTACTAAATAGTACTACACAAACCTTACCTAAACTCTGTTAAGAATTATAAAATGAATAATTTTAACGCAGATCATTTGTTACTCATAATTGATGCACAGAATAAACCAATTTCCAGTAACTGCTTAATGTGCTGCTGGCAGGCACCCAGATACTACGTCGGCGACCACAAAATAAAAGTCTATTTCTTTTAAGAAGCACTTCCATATTTACATACCTATTTTAGTTTATATTTACCCCAGGCCCCATTTTTAACCGAATATGCATCTCTCAGGTTGTCCTAAACCCCTTCAATAGATGAACAACAGGGATGGAGATTGTTCAAATGAAAGCTTTATTCAGTTTTTGAATATAAACTCCACTTCAAGAGCTTGCAATATTTTGTAATTGCGACTGAGAAGCTGTTAAAGAGAAACCAGCTGTTTAACTTTGCAGACAATAGTTACAAACTGAAACAATCACTTTTCAATCACCCCACTGTTCTCCACTGTATCTTCAGTGAAGCAAGCCATTAAAATCCACTGTCTTCAGCCCGTGGTCCAGATCATGCCATCTGCTGGTTTTTAACAAAGGCTATTTCTGCTTTTACAGGTAGAATCAAACCTGCGTTTGCTGACACTCCCTGGGAATCCTCCTGGGCCAATTTAGCCTTTTTCAGATTATTATTTGCAATGCTTTTTTGCTTTGTAGAGAAACTTTTATTCAAGCCATATCCTGAAACATTTCACAAAGCTAAATTTGTAATCATACAAACGGTTAGCACAATTTCTAAGTTAAATAACTTAGCAGGTAGAAGGTAAGAGGACTTCAGAGGTAGATACAAGAGAGACTGAAGGTACATGGCTGACAAAACAGAACCAAAGGGTTGCCGCCGCAGCTAGCAGAAGGTGTATGGACAGCTTTTGCGCCAACAAGCGAAAGGACTGAAGGGCTGCAAACCCCGTAGGAGGAATGGAATGAAATCTGCCCCAGGAAAACAAATTATCAAGGAAATCAAAAGAGCACATGTAGTCGGTCTTGAAAGAGCTTGCGTGTTGTCGGGAAACAGGCAAGGCCGTAGTTCTTCGGGGCGTGATGCGAAGAGGCAGCAGAAGCGCTCGGCCTGGGCTGGGATCGGGAGATGCGGATCGGGCCTACGTCAGACAACGCGAAGCTTTCCGACCCTCTTGGGGGAGCAGGGGATACGGTGAAGGTGGACGCCAGAAACGCAGCACAGAGGCGATATGTGAATTTGCATATAAAGGAATACTGGTGGAAGACGGTTTGAGGAAGACAGCAATCATAAGGAAAGTGCTAAAAAGGGGAGGCACGACTCAAAAAGCAAATCAAGGAAACCAAGCAGCATGAAATAGTTTTTTACTCCCTTTCTGAGATGCCAAAATTTGCACTGAAATAACATCTTTTTCAGGGGGGGAAAAAAAAAAAAAAAAAAGGAAATGTTTTTAAACATGTTAGTGAATTTTACTCAGCTCCATGTCATGACCACCCCTCCCACCTTCTAAATCCGAATACTGAAACTGGAGGATGTTGCAGCACAGGTTTTGCCTACAAGGGTCAAACAAAAATCAAACTTGACCCTACTGGGAAAGTCTGGAATTCAATCTACAAATTCCCAGGCGATGGGTTGAAATTTGGCTTAGCCTAAACAGGAACAAGGATTATTCTGTAACCTGGGTCAAATTGAGCAGGTCTCTCCGCAGCTCCTAGCATAACAAACGCCCAACCAAATCATTTTCTTTTTTAGTATATGCAATCTGTTTGCTTCTAAAAGCATCACCAACTCCAGGCAGGCCCTACTATAAAAACACACACACCAACGACACACGTCCCTGCAGTGCGAAGCTGCCTTTCTAAACAGACAAGGCAGGTGACAGATGAGGCAAGGAAAGAAAAATACAGAGCAGTGAACTGACTTGCTCAAAACCACACAAAAGAAGTCATCGTGAGAAATTGCAAAGACTCCCCCTTTCTCTCCGACTCTCCTCCTCACACTGCCAATAACGACAACCTATAAACCCAAGGACATGAGTCCTCGCTCAAGGAGCCTGCAATAAAAGCAGGCAAGCAGATAAAACCATGCTGCATGATAGAGGGTGGATTAGTCAGAAAACAAAACACTCTTCTTCTGAAAACACTGTTCTTCTGAAACAGTAAAAGGAACATTCCTTTGTCGAAAGCCAGCGCAGCCCAAGGAAGGATTAGCAGATGAGAAATACCTAGAGGATTCCTACGGCAAATTCCAAAGGCGGAAGATTTTGCAGGGAGATAGCACAGAAGGGAGAGAGATCTGTGCAGAACAGATGTCCTGGAAAAGCAGCGTCTGCCTTACATCTCACACAAGGCAGTATTTTTGTATAAAAGACAAAATATTTGGTTTAGATACACAATAAGGAAATCGACTGACAGCATGGTGCAAAACGAAACAGTGGATGTGGATATATCAGATTTCATTCAGTTGGCCCTTGTTGTAATTTACACTTAAGCACAAAGAATAAACTGGTCTCTCCTCAAACTTTCAGAGGTAGTGGGGAGCAGAGCGATGTATTTAAACCAATTTCACTAGCAGTGAACGAAGAAAACATTTAATCTTTTTTTCCTAATGCCTTGGTTTGTTTATTTAACACAGTACTTGACAAAGACCTTTAGTTCATATTACAGTGAACAGCAGCTCCTCATGGAAACAAGTTTTGAACACTTTTATTTTCAGATGTTTTTAAACATCTGGTCAAGCAATTTAGTTACAGGTATCTTAAATCACTGCTGATGACCATTTCCATGTAGCAAAACATTTGTAAGGAAAGATGCTGATATTTTGGGAACCTCACCAGCAGAGGAAAGATGTCCTCCTCAGGGGATATTAAAAGTGGAGCCTACCAAAAAATATACTACTGTATAAAACTGTACTATTAAACAATCAAATCATTTTAGAGGGATCATAAAGAAATGTATATACTTTAGGCTTAGAGTATTGGAAGTGGGATGCGTCCAGCAGTACAAAACAAATTTCTAAGAAAAAACAATTGTGCTTGAAAGGAAAGCAAGATCAGCTGTTAGCTCAGCAGCTGGCAATGGCAAAGAAGTAGAAAGAGCTAGTTGTACTGGTAGATCACAGGGCACCCACAGCAGACAGCATGACGCGGTCATGTGAAAGGCAGACGTGGTTTAGGGATGTATCAAGAGTTACTTCCAATATGCTAACAAAGTATTAGTGACATCATGCGTGGCCTCAGTCTTCCTCCAGCATAGAATCTAGGCAAACTCAGGCTGGGATGGATGAAGGGAAGTGCTGAAGGTCCTGCCACACAAGGATGCTTTATGTGATTCTGAAGATAAAAGAGGTGATGGATTGGAGAGGAAGAAAAGCTGCTTAGCTCAAGGTCAACACTTATGTAGACTGAGAGGAAACGAGTGTAAAGTGGTCACAAACACTCGGAGGCTTCAAGTTAGAGTGGGCTCCAGCTGCTGCAGTGATGTTCAAATAAGAGTAAGAACAAAACCTGGAAAGTCTGGAAACCTGACAACCTCTCCTGGGCGAAAAGGACATTTCTGTTTTAGCCTTGTATGTGAGGTCCTTCATATGGAGTACCTGTTGTTATGTTCCTGCATCTACGACTGCAAGGGCATCCAGCATGCACCCTGCATCTCTAAATGACAATCCAGGGCTAGGTATTACAGAAATCTTTCAAATTTCTCAAAACAAACATCAGAAAAATACAACAACCCTGATGAAGCCAAAGAAACACATGGGATTAAATACAATACCTAGTTCTCTTCTACACACAGAGAAAATACCATAGAACAGAAGAAAGGACTTCAGCTTCCTTTGTAATACATGAAAAACCAAACTCCCTGTCTTGCACTCCTTGAGCTTTAGGAACAAAGACATATTTTTTAATGGATTCATGGTTTGAACCTTTATGGTCCACTGTTTGATACCTAGAGAAGCAATGAGCGTAGCTGTATTCTTATGCAGCCAATGAATCTTGGTGATGCTAAATGCAGACCAATCCCACCAAGTGAAGAAATCAAATCTAAAGAAAATGTCCAAGCCATCTTGGACAGTACAGCCATCAGCTCTAGTTATCCATCTTTTGTTTTCCTCTCCTATGGTCCTGAGAACGATGAAGCTTCAATACACTTAGCCCCTCTCAGCTTAGCGAACACTGCAACCATTCAATATACTCTTCTTAGCGACAGACAAAACCCATCAGCCTCAAAACGGGTGCTGTATGCTGTAGCGGGGCCAGGTCTTTGGAATATTTTTTCATGAAAATATCAGGCAATTGTATTTTTTATAG